TCACTGAGGTCCTCCATCCACATGACAGAGAGGGGAACACAAAAATGACTCAGTCTGCAACTGAAAATATGGATGGAGGACCTYAGKYYAGCTTGTTTGTCGCGCTAGCGCTGAGCTAATACATATAAGGCAATATAACGTGAGGGCTATACATGAAACAAATTAACCGCTGTGTCAGTCAACGTTCAGGTCTCATCCATTACCACCTTTAAAAAATCTTAGACCAATATTTCCCTTTTTCCATCTTTTTTATGTTGATGGTCAAAATGTATTTTGTTGTGTTTGATATTGCTTTTATTTTCCATGTTCTAACAAAATGCTGCAGTTGACAATGTCAACACAAACAACTTGTCTAATAAAGAATGGAGAAGACTTTTAGTCTCACTAAAAGACGGGAAAAGATATCAGAAAATTTAATCTTGCTTAATTCATATGCCCTGTAACTAAAGTCCATACATGTGTTTGTAGTTTTTGGCATAAGGTTTTGAAAGGACACCAACGTTTGTATTGAAAACAGCATTCATTGTACCTTCAATGGCTGAGCATCATCCTCATCAGAATCCTTAAATTCGATACAAACAGCAATGTTCCTCGCCTATAAATGAAAAATATATATATAAATAGGAAGAACATGCATACTGACGAACATAGGTACTGGAGAACATAGGTACTGAAAAACATAGGTACTGAAAAACACAGGTACTGAAAAACACAGGTACTAGTGAACATAGGTAATGAAGAACATAGGTACTGAAGAACATAAGTACTGAAGAACATAGGTACTGAAGAACATAGGTACTGAAGAACATAGGTACTGAAGAACATAAGTACTGAAGAACATAGGTACTGAAGAACATAGGTACTGAAGAACACAGGTACTGAAGAACACAGGTACTGAAGAACATAGGTACTGAAAAATATAGGTACTGAAAAACATAGGTACTGGAGAACATAGGTACTGGAGAACATAGGTACTGGAGAACATAGAAACTTTCATGGAAAGTTAAAATTCTAACTTCCTATAGAAACTTTCTGCGAAGTTTCTGGAAATTTTCAGAATTGTTTTCAGCCACTTCACAGCTCTGGATGGGGATGACTCTCAGCTACTTCYTCCTTAAATTTCAGCTCAATATTTGCTAAACTGACTTGAGTCACAGCCTTTTTTGTGGGTGCTGAGGTTAATTAGCTGTGGTGGTCATTTTGAGCTGACTTCAGCTGACCTATTAAAAAAACAGKTTTTTTTTGTTTCAATGCAGCTGCAGCTTGACATAAAGATAATTCTCTCCAGCTCTGCTGCTTGGCTGCTGCTGACAGTTTAAAAGGCTAAACAGGAAAACAAAATGATGACGATAAGAGGACAGCTGCCAAACGCAGGCACTGCTTTCCAAAAACAGGATTTATTACAGGATTTTTGGGAAAAAAACGCTAATCGTGCAGAGGGAGAGACAAACCTTTGTAAATGACTTCTGCCCGTCATATTTCAGATGTTTGGGRTAAACATAGAGGTGGTTCTTATAGATGGTGAAGGGCTGGGCGCACTTAGCAATACACGGCACAAACTCCTCTACCTCCAGGAGAGCGCTGCCAGGACCGTTCTGCTCAAAGGTTCTCACGGGGATGTAGGAGGAAGTGACGCAGTCTACAAACAGCAGAGTAGACTGTCAAAGGTCAAAATCTGATAATTCCAGATGGTTAGATACGAGCATGTTGGGATGATTTACTGGCTGCATCTGGTGCCATGTTATCAACGGTTACATCTAAGTTCCCTAAGAGCACGGGCAGTTTGGCCATTTTCTCTGGTCTGTAGGGAAAACAGAGGAAGAACAGTCTATTATGAGACCAGTCTCAGTATGTGTAGAACGATGGGGTGGGGGTAAAAGAACGTACTTTCTGAAGTCAGTGAGCAGTTTGAACATGTCCTCATCCGACAGTTTGCTGCTGTCCTGTCTGTACAGAGCTGAGAAACGAGCCGTTTTGTCCAGAGTTCCTGAAGCGTCTTTGAACACAGGCCTGAAAAAGCCAAACAGAAAAATACTGAATTCACAAGAAATTTAAATTCAGAATCCAGTTTATAAAAATAACTAAMWACTGAACATTTACCAGACAACCTTCAGCTAGCCTTTTGCTACTGTTAACTTTAGCTACATTTAGCTTGATGGTAGCTACAATTATATTTTAGTTAAGCTTTGCTTATTTAAATGTAGCTTGTTGTTTGCTAACTTTAGTTTTTAGCTAACTTTTTGCTACTTTGAGCTTTTAGTTGGACTTTTACAACCTTTAGGTAGTATTTTGTAACTTTTAGTTTTTTGCTTTTTCTAGCTAGCCATTTGCTACTTATAACTTTTAGCTAATTTTCCCTACATTTAGCTTTTAYCTAGCATTTTGATACTTTTAGCTTGGCTTTTGTTCCACTCAAGTTTTAGAAAGTTTTTTGCTTAATTTAACTTTTAGCTATCTTTTASCTTCATTTAGCTAGAATTTAGCTCCAATTATCTTTTAGTTAGCCTTTGTTATTTTTAGCTAGTCTTTTGCTACTTTAGCTTTTTGCTAACCTTTTGCTATTTTTAGCTTTTAGTTAGGATGTTTACATTTTTAGRCAGCCTTTCACTACTTCTAGTTAGCTTTTTGCTATTTGTTGGGGGGCCGGGGCGGCTGTGGCAGAGTGGTTAGGGAGTCGTCCTGTAACTGCCGGTACGATCCCCTGTTCCAGCTGTCTCTGTTGTTGTGTCCTTTGGCAAGACACTTCACCCACCTTGCCCACTGATGGTGGTCAGAAGGTCCGGTGGCGTTGGTGCATGGCAGCCCTGCCTCTGTCAGTGTGCTCCAGTGTGCAGCTGTGGCTACAATGTAGCTTACCACCATCAGTGTGTGAATGTGTGAATGACTGTAGTGTAAAGCGCTTTAGGGTCCAATGAGGTCCAACAGGTTCAGTTCATTTACCATTTGTCAATTTTAGTGAAGAGTTTCCCTACATTTTACCTTTAGCTAGCCTTTGGCTACAATTAAATTTTAACCAGAATTTTATGACATTTAGAGTTTAGGTATCCCTTTGCCAAATTTAACATTTTGCTAGCCTTTGTTRTTTTTATAGTTTAGAGTTTGGCAACTTTTAAGATTTAGCTCATAATATTCTACTACTGTTAGCTTTTAACTACTTTAACTTATAGCTAGTCTTTTGCTACTTTTAGCTTGTAGGARAATCAGAGTTTTACAACTATTTTACATGTTCTCTCAGAGTCTTTTTCAAAGAATAATGATATTGTTTTGTTACCAAAATGGTAACATGTAGTCATGCRTCCCTGACATAAGCTCACAAATTATAAAATGTTTATCAGGGCTCAGAAAAGTTTGAATGAAGTAGATGACATTTCCTGCATTCTGGTGTATTTTAACAGGCTGTTAAAYGTACTTTTACCTACATAAGTAAACACTTGGTGAGTATTCTGTAGGYCAAGTGGAGGGGTTCTCATACATTTTGGGCCTGGGGACTCCTTACAAGGGTGAAAGGTTTCCAGGGACCCCCTCACAAAACCCAAGTGGTTTTAAAAAATATTTACTGTCATGTTAATCCCTGAACTTCTTGGGAATAGTATTTTTGTTTGGTAAAGTATGTTTGTTTTACTAGTGCATTATTCTCCATATGCATTTTTTAAAATAAAAACCAAATGAACAATTTATTATAACTTTTTGAGGACCCCTAAGATACAGCTCGTGGACCCCTGAGTCCTGGGACCCAAGTTTGAGAACATCTCTGTTAGGCAATAGAAACAGTGCTGGGTGAACTGATATTTTATTGTAAATGTGGGGATCCAAAGAATTTTGATTTTATATGTGAGGGGGGGACTTCACCTTGGCCCCCCAAGCCAAAACTGAATATAAGCTGAGTGTAAGCTGAATTTGGTCAAAGTTTTGTAGATTTCTGAGGACTGGTGTTGATGGAAACAGCTTCATACCGTGCAGCCCAGGCAAACGGCATCCTGTACTGTCCCAGTCTGCTGCAAGCAGTCTTGGCGTTCTTCAACACTTTCTGAGCGATCTAAACAAGAACAATGTTGGATTTTATTAATGAAAGAACAGTTTTCGTGACATCTATATTATTGTTTACATGCGTACTTTGGTAGAGTCTGAGCTCTTCATGTAGGGTTCAGTACAGTGGGTGATCCCTCCTTGTAGGACCTTCTCAATCCTCGCAACCAGGAAGATCTCCGGGTGTGGGCAGGTGACTGAGAACACCCCCTGTTTGGGATAGAGAAYAGCCTGCTTCTGGCCTTCCAGGAGACCTTCATCAATGATTTGTGACTCCTCCGATGCGCCGCAAACCATTTGTCGAACTAAAGGATGGTTGAGGTCCACGTGGAAGTCGGCTGAGATCTTTCTACTGTTCTGGACATCAAACAGGGACAGAACCACGTAGAAAGGCTCCACCTTTGAGAAAACCAAACACATTTATGTAATAAAAGGTMGACGGACAACATAAAATCACAGAAGCAACAGAAGCATGGGCGGAGCAAGACTTTTTTTGTAAGGGGCCAAAGTGGGGTTAATTTTGGC